CAGTTAGATTCTTTAATAATCACAGTGAGAGACAAAAGACTGTGTCTCCCTAGAAATGGCGGTGCTCCCAATTAAGGTCCACACCCCCTCCGTCCCTATTAAGCTATGTCACTCCTACGTCTTGTAACCTGAGCTTGTACCCTCTGCACTTTCTGTTCCGAGACTTTCTGAGCCCTTCTCGACCTTGAGGAGGGCGGTGGAGGAATGCTGTCCAGAGACAGTGAACCTGTTAGCCGTCTCCCTGCCAGTGTTTCTTTTCCTAGCTGTTCCCCATCCAGTATTTCCCAGCTTCTGCCTTCTGAACTATGCCCCTCTGCAAGCCACTGTTCCAAATCTATACTGTCCTCCTGCTCCTGGGAAGATTCAGGATCAGGGGGAATGGGTGGCTCCCACCATCCCTCCTCGGTGCAGTCCTCCTCAGCCTGGTCCCAGACACCAGCCTTGTGCCCTAGGGAGGTCACTTCAGTGCTGTTAAGACAGCAGAAACAACGCAGGAGGAAGCCATTATAAGTTACCAGTCCCTGCAGCCATAGTGCATGCCATGCTGCACCCCATTGTCTCTCAAAACAGATGGGTGCCAACAGCAGCAACAACAACAATAACAACCTGAGCATAGGAGGGAGCAAGAGAACAGATCACTCCAGGAAAGAGGGTAATAATAATAATAATAATAATAATTTGTTATTTATACCCACCAGTCTGGCCAAGTCTCCCCAGCCACTCTGGGTGGCTTCCAACCAAATATTAAAATACAGCAATACATCAAACATTAAAAGCTTCCCTAAACAGGGCTGCCTTCAGATGTCTTCTAAAAGTTTGGCTGTTGTTCTCTTTGACATCTGGTGGGAGGGCGTTCCACAGGGCTGGTGCCACCACCGAGAAGGCCCTCTGCCTGGTTCCCTGTAACTTGGCTTCTCGCAATGAGGGAACCGCCAGAAGGCCCTTGTAGCTGGATCTCAGTGTCCGGGCTGAACGATGGGGTGGAGACGCTCCTTCGGGTATACTGAGCCAAGGCCATTTAGGGCTTCAAAGGTCAGCACCAACACCTTAAATTGTGCTGGGAAATGTCCTGGGAGCCAATGTAGGTCTTTTAAGACCGGTGTTATGTGGTCTCGGCGGCTGCTCCCAGTCACCAGTCTAGCTGCTGAGGCTTCCAAGGAAGTCCTGCCAGAGGCCAGGGCCAGACGCAGGTTGCAGTTTGGGTCGCAAGCAGAAGCTGGCATTTCCAAGAAGACACTTCGTTTTGTTGCGACATTTTGCTGGAGGCCTTCTCAGTTCACCACAACCCACCTGCCATTCACAAAGTCAGTCCCAGCGTTCACTGTGGCAGCCTGGAGCGGATGCCCTCCAGACAGGGGGCCCATGCCAAGTCTAAAACAGCCAACGGTTGAGGGAGATGGGTCTGTTGTTTATTTCCTTGACATCTGATGGGAGGCTGTTCCACAGGGTGGGCGCCACCACTGAGAAGGCCCTCTGCCTGGTTCCCTGTAACCTTACTTATTTTACTAAGGGAACTGCCAGAAGGCCCTCAGAACTGGACCTCAGCATCCGGGCAGAATGATGGGGGTGGAGATGCTTTTTAGGGATACTCTCATTTTGACTCAATAAAATCACCATTTTATAGTTCTAATCAGGGGAAGTAAATGGACAAAAGGACAAGAATTCACAAAATGTTTTGGGGTATATGTACCCCTGTGTACCCCCAGAAAAAAGCGCTGGTTTATAACTTGAGTCAAGTGAGGCTCCTGCCTCAGGCCAACTCTGCACAGCCCTTCCTCTAGATATTTTGAATTTATTGCACCCATCAGTGGCCACGTCATAGGCCACGCTTCCTGTGGCTGATGGAACGTGGTTCGAAACAGAAAGCCCCAGCCTGGGGAAGGTGCCCTTCTCTGAAAACCCTGCTCCTAATATGTGCAGCCCTGCTTTGCTCTCGATTCTGACAGCGCTCTGTGTGTGTGTGTCTGCAAGCTGCTAGTTCATATTGACCAGAGAGGTCACAATGATCTTTTTAGGTCAAAGAGGTAAGTGCAGTGCTAAACTACTCACTGTTGTGAGTACCTGTTTCTACTGCTGAGTAAGGAACAGGAATCACATCTGGAAGACCTGCACAACAGACTCTGAATCTTCTGTTTGCAGCTGGGAGGTCATGTCTGAACCAATCCTGGCTCGTGCAGAGTTTGTCACTGGAGAGAAAGCAAGATTCATCTTGGAGCCTCTTGCATCAGACTTATTCCTTGCATTTCTATAAGGGTTGCTGGCCAAGCCTTCAGACCACAAACCAGCCTCACAAAATAGCAGAAGAAGCAATCGCAGAAGGGAACCCAAAGGGTCATCTAGTCCAACCCCTCTGCAATGCAACAATTACAACTCAATAATTCCTGACAGGTGGCCATCCAACCTCTGCTTAAAATCCTCCCGTGAAAGGGAGCCCAGCACCAGCCGAGGGAGTCCGCTCCACAGGCAAACAGCTCTTACCTCCCGGAAGTTCCTTCTCATGTTTGGTCAGAATCTCCTTCTTTGTAATTTCCACCCACTGGTTCGGGTCTGACCCTCCGGAGCAGCAGAAAGCCTGCTGTGTCTTCCACAGGTTGGCCCTTCAGATATTTGAAGATGGCTATCACATCACCTCTCAGCCTCTTCTCTGGGCTAAACAGACCCATCTCCCTCAACCGTTCCTCATAAGGCAGCGGTTCTCAACCTGTGGGTCCCCAGATGTTGTTGGACTACAACTCCCATCGTCCCTGAGCTCTGGCCTTGCTAGCTAGGGGTGATGGGAGTTGTAGTTCAACACCATCTGGGGACCTACAGGTTGAGAAAGGCTCTCATAAGGTGTTGACTCTGTATTGGACTTCTGTTTATAGTCTCCATTTTTGTTTCTTTCATGGCATGTACACCCCCCTCTCTCTCCAAGGAGCTCTAGGGGGCATGCATGACTCTGCCCCCCATCCCAATTAACCCCCAAATCAACTCTGCTTTGAGGTAGGCCAGGCTGGGAGGCAGGGGCTATCACCCACGGTCACCCAGTGAGAGCTTTATGTCCAAGTGGGCATTCAAACCCTGGTCTCCTAGGTCAGTGGTTTCCCAACTTTTTTCAAAGAGGGCCAGATTTGAGGAAGTGAAGGGCTGCGAGGGCCGACCAAAGTTGTTAACCTTGTTGAGCTTTTTTAGGGTTGAAGTTGTTGAGGGTTTTTAAGGATTTTACCCCAGGAAATAAACTGCCACAAGAGGCCGGATTAAACCAACCGGCAGGCCGGATTAGGCCCCCAAAACAGACTTTGGACATACCTGTCTTCACATTGGTCACCACAACAACCTTGTGAAGTAGGCTAGGCTGAGAGGCAGCGACTGGCCTCCATCGCCACCCAGGAAACATCATGGCTGAGTGGGGGGATTTGAACCAGGCCCTGGTAGTCCCCTAGACTCTAACCATTACACCACACTGTCTGTCTCAATGTCTGCATAGATGTATTTGCATATGCAAATTTAGGATGACCCCTTGGACCGCACCTCATCCAAGGTACAAAACACGCAGGATTATATCCTTCTCCCCTTGATGGAACAAAGAACTAAGAAGCAGCCAATAGATTTCTTATAAATTTATTACATAATAATAATAATTGTCATAATAATAATCATAATAATAATCATAATAATAATATAAGAAACATAGATCTCTCTGTGGGGGGGGGCGTATCACAAGGTCAGGGGTCAGGAGGTGTGTCAGCTCCCTCCCCACTCCCTTACTCTGCGGAAGGAGAGATCTCCTCAGGAAATCCATATAAAATAAGGGGTGAATTCAAAGAGACCCTGTCAATAAAAAACAATCAAAGAAACCAAAGGGCACAGGTGGGTGGGTGGGTGGGTGGGGTGACAGACAGGGGAGGGTGAGACCGGGGGCTGCTTTGGGTGAGGGCGGGTGTGCCTCTTCTGCGGACGTGGGTGGGCTTTTCCAGGGGCGGAAAATTCAAAACGGCCCTTAAGTTTCGGGGCAGCAGCCAAAACAGCGTCTCACCTCGGACGGGTGGGGATAATGGCGAGTTGGGGGGGGGAGGTTGATGCCTTGCTTGCTTCAAAAGTCTAGAGATGGAGGGGTACAGAGAAGTGATGGATTTTGAGTCAGGACCAGAAACCCAACACCCTGAAAACGAAATAAAAATATTCCAGAGCAAAAAAACGAAAACCCTCGTCCCTAATTTTGTACAGAAGGTAACAAAAGTCATTGAGAAGCCAATGAGAAATCACAGTTAGCTCCGTGTGCAGCTGTTGTTATCGCCTCCTGCGGCCCCCTCCCCACTGCTGCATACTGGGGAGGGGGGGTTGTGTTGGTTCTCAGGACGACCCTCACCCTCAAGATGTCCTAGTCAGGCTCTCTTTTCCTGCCTTCCCCGAAATGGCTTTTTGGAATGGAGTGCTCTGGAGAGAGATTTGGGGTCACCTCACCCAGGAGGGCAGAATAAAATCCAGACAGATCTATCTACAAACAGAGACCAGGCAAAGGGTCCTTTTGCTTCAGCTGGGAATGAAACAGGGAGGGAACGTCGAGCGACTGAGCTGTCAGGGGCCTCTGCAGATGCAAAATGGTTCCTTCTGGCAGAGCCGCCATCTTGGAGGGAGTACATGGGAAAGGAACAGCACAAAAGCATTTCTTCCCCACTTACGTGGCACGAGACTCACATGGGAGACTCGTGAGGCCACGGAACAAGGAACTCGAGGCAGAGCCTGCGGCTCCATGGGACACTTTCCTCCTTTTGCCTCCCATCTCAGGCCACAACTTCCATCTCCTGTCAACCCCTCTTGCCAAGACAAAAGTGGGAAAACCTCATATTGGATGCAGCCTCGGTTTCCCAAGCCCACCTAAAAGCAGGCTGGGCTGGCTGTACAAGGGAGACCTGGGAAGCAAGGGGTCTTCCAAGAACAGTTGCTGCCTCTGGCTGTTCTCCCTGGCCCTTTTCATTTGATGATGGGACCACCTGAATTTTTTAGCTCTCCCCCATCAAAGGAGGAGAGGGCCTTGTGCCCCTGATCTTTTGCCCCTGCTGGAGGCAAGGGCAGGAGAAGGATGCTGTTTCCCACCCAGGCGAGTGAAGTTCCAGCCCACAAAACTCTTAATAATTTAATAACAATGTTCTTATTTATACCCATTTGGCTTAAATACTTGGAAGTAGCGTTTTACCCTTTAACTATGGCCGGATCAAAAGGGGTTGGTTCAGAGAAACACCCCTTTCCCCCCGCAAGACACTTTTTGTGCTCACAGCCAGACAGAGCTCCGCTGACGAGAGCTTCCATTTGCTAGATGCAATGGTCCTACTTTAGGAGCTGCGTTTCAAACAATTTAACACAGAGTCAAACGATGAGCAATGTCCCATCATGAGAGGCGGGAGATGGAGCCTTTAACCTTCCCAACTGTGCAAATGAAAGAGTGAAAATGAGGAGAATGTGACGAACTGAGGGGTTCACTCTAAACAACCGTGAAGACACGTCGCCAAGTCTGAAACCATGATTCTAACCTGCTATGCATGTTGACTCGGATTCAAGTCCCATTGACTTCAGTAGGGCTTACTCCATGGGAAACGCGCAAAGGGGGTTTCAGCCTGAGACAGCCAATTCTCTGGGCGGCATTTCAGGGGTATTAATCTTGTGAAAAGGGGAGGCCTTTGAAGTGTCCCCATAGGATTTGGCAGGTAAAATTGGCCAAGCATTTGGACTCTACGTTGTTTGGGGTCAGTGGGAGAGCCGGGAGTTCAATTCAAGAACGTAAGGAGGGACGAGATGATTCAAAGTCTCCTTCAGCCCTTGCGTTCAGTGGCTCGAAACTCACCATTGTGTTTCCCTATTTGCTACCTTATGAGAGCACGTTCTGGACTAGGCAGCCAAGGTTGCTGGGTACCATGGAAGAGGAGAACACTCTTGCCCTTGGGTGCTGCTTCCTGGTCTCCCCCACAGGGAAGTTTCTGGGCCCCGTGAGAAGAGGATGCTGGACTAAGATGGGCCATTGGCCTGATCCAAAAGGCTCCTTCTGACCTTCTTAGGTGGTCTACATCGGATTCTAATGTCTTCACAATGAGGTGGACAGCAACCAGTATCAAGGAGGGGTTCAGCATCAGGTTACAATGTGGCAGCTGCAGGATTTCGGTTGGGTATCACTTTCCTTTGCGCTATGCCTGACCAGGACTTAGCCGTGGTGTCCCCGTGGCCGACGGCGCAAGGCCTCAGGCTGTGCATCGAGGGGATCACGCAGTGTTCGCAAACACAGTTACGGCTGCAGCTGCTTAGAGGGGGAGAAGCTGAGTAGCCTCCGCCCAAGGGGAGGCTCAGCTGGCCTTCGAGACAAGAAGCAGGAAGCAAGAGCCCTGTGGTTCTCCAGCCCTCATGAGGAGGGGACAGAAGTCAGGAGGGGACAGGGTCAGAGGGCATTCCTGAGGAAGGAAGCAAGAAGGCGTCCAGCTTTCCCAGTCCTGGAGTGAACTTCCTGCAGACAAGTTCCGTTCTGCAGTCTTCAAGCCTCCATCCGTGGGATGAGGCTGTGTGCAGGTGGGCGGGCGGGCAGGGGTCTCCCTTGTGTCGTCCCAGAAGCAGCTGCAGAAGGGACAGAGACCCAGAGCCCACGGCAGCCACGGGCTGCAACAAGGCACCTGCACTCAGGCGAATAGACAACCAGAGAGACTCCAACCGGTCTCACGGGCGGCAGATACCACGAGGGAGGGAGTAGGGTGGTGGAGGAATGGAAGTCAGTTTCCATCAAGTGAGGCGGCCATAGCCTTTCTAAAGCAGCGGGCTGAAAATGGTCACAGTTTCTCTGCCCACGTGAGGGGTGCTAGCTGGGCTGCAGGGTGGGGATGATGGGAGGAAAATGTTGGCTTGTGGTTGGACGGAGCTTTGGCAAGCATGCAGTGGTTGGACGGAGCAGCGCAATGGAGCAGAAGCCAGAAGGGAAGAGGCAGGAATGGGATGGTTGGTGCCCCCTTATTACCTGGAGATGGCATTCAGTTCTGTAGGATTACCAGGGATGAGACCATGAGTCTACTGGCTCAGGCCAATGGCCCACCTGGTCTTGGATCCTGTTCTCACAGTGACCAATCAGATGCCTGCAGGAAACCATCAAGTAGGACCTGAGTGCTAGAGCACTCTTCCTTCCTGTGGTTTCCAGCAACTGGTATGGGACATTAGAAGGAAGCAACCGAGGTGGCTGCCTCTGAAGAAATACTGTGGGCCTGGGGTGTCTTAGAGAAGCAAATGCCATCTTTGGCTTGCAAGGCAGCAGAAACAATCCCCTCGCATGATCATGGCACTGAAACATTGGGAGGGAGGCAAAGCATCCTCTAGTCCCCCCCGTGATGCAGGAATGTCAACGAAAGCATCCATGACAGATGGCCAGGTTGGGCATTAAACGGGTTGGCATGTAACTTAACTGTGAAGGCAAAGGTGATGTGGGGACCAGGGTGAGTTATTGGGGTGGACAGAAGTAGGCAAGTGAAGGGTAGCTGGTGGGAGAGGAGAGCTGCCCATTCTCCAGATCTCTGCAGTGCTGTGATGGGAGCAGACGACCTTCTCAGAGCACGCTTGTCCTGCATCATTGTGGAATGCAGAGAGGCACCTTCTGGTCAGGGAAGTGGTGAGTGGCCTGACGGTGTGGTGAGGGGTTTGGTGGTGGAGCGGGATCAATGAGACACTGATAAAGCATGAGGGTGGGTTAGGACTAGGGAATGAGCAAATCTCTCAATCATGCCTTTAAAAAAAAAAAAAAGTAACAAAGTATGCATGAAAATTCACCAGGGTTTTAGTGCAAATTTCTCCTAACAAACACATTTTTGTATATGATTTCCCCCAAAATTTTCTTATGCTATTTTATGCATTTCAAGCACATTTTATGCATGCTTTACCCTATCACATACATCTTGATACACATTGCTTGGTTGGAGAACTACGTTGCAAAATTTGTAGAAGTGCAAATTTCGATGGATGGTTGTGCTTTGGTTGACATCTCATTTTGGCAAGTAGGACTCAGGTAGGTCTGCCTTTAAATGCAAACGGAAACCAGAGAAGGCATTGAGAGAGAGAGAATTGCTTCATGCGGTGCCACCTGCAAAACCCTCGAGTTGCAGTATATTCGCATGCTAGAGTATGCGAATGTAAAGGGCTTGGGAAGCGTAGCAAGGCATGCATGGAGAACATATTAGATGATGCAAGAGTTAGGTAGACCAAGGCAATGTATATGGGTTATTGTCATTCCACAGCTGGCTATCTGAGGACAGTTTCGCTAACAGGCAATCAATGCCAATGCCAAACCAATGTTAAGACGGTATGATCTGGTAGTGGCAGCACCAGAAAACAATATACGATGGTGGGATGTTGGAACACAACGTATGCTTGTGCTTTATGGCAGCCTTCCTTATCCTTGTGCTTTCCAGATGTTTTGGAGTACAACTAGACCTGCCAGTGATGCCGTAGGATGCCAAGTTAGAGTCCATGGCCTCTGGACAGCACCAGGTTAGGACTCTCCACAACAAAATTGTTCTAGGTTTTAGCAACGTCAGAGTTGACGCTGGCCATGCCTTGGATCAGAGTTCCCTGTTTGTGGAACTCTCTCCTGCCTAGATTGTAAGAATGGAAGATGAGCCCTGTCAGATTAGGCAAGTAGCACATTTAGTCCAGCATCCTGTTCTCACAGTGGCCACCAAGATGCCCCATTGGCAAGCCCGAAAGCAGGGGCAGAACACAAGAGCGCTCTCCTCTCCCTTGGTTTCCAGCAAACGGTGTTCAGAAGCATTGCTGCCTCCAACTGCAGGAGCAGAGCAGAGCCATAATGACTACAAGCGACCAATAGCCTTATCTTCCTACATGAATTACTCCAATTCGCTTCCAAACTTCTGTTTTACTCCAAACAAAGTAGGGCATCAGTTGTCAAGACCATGGATTGACAGAGATGGCAACACTGACCTGGTGTTTTGTGGGCTGGTAGTTCTCAGTGCTGGGTGATGTGGCTTCACATTTCATAGCCCAATGTCCTGTTGTTTGAAAAGGAGAAACTGACACCGGACTAAGTCCGCGATCCTAAACACAGCATGGAGTAAGCTCTAATGAACACAGTGGGATTTGCTTCTCGATACCCACACAGAAGATGGTGCTATAAACGCCCAACTATTCAGCACTAGGGTGATGGAGCGTGATGTGCCAAGATGGTGCTTATGATCTGTGCTCAGATAATGCTTTTGGGTAGCAGAAGGCATGATTCAGTTTATAGCAGGTGTGTAAGACAGGTTACAGTCTAGGAACAAGCTTGGAAGGATTACAGGTATACCAGGTCAATTCATATTCCCTTTTCTTAAATGTGCTCTTCAGAAATCAGATGTGAAAAAGTGAAATGTGTAGCTAAGTCAAACACAGACAAAAAAAGCCCACACATAACTTTGAGAAATGGGGTGGTGGCAGCGGGAGTGGGGGGGGGGAACCACCACCTGTGTTAAGTCAAACTTTTCTGTGTTACGATATATTCCATTGGCAAGTTGGGTTTCATTTGGTTTAGAAAGGTTCAAAATTTTGGATGGAGCACAATTGTTCCATCTTCCTAACTTCCCACTATTGTGAAAAAGTGTGTGAGTGAGAGGGAGGAAGCGAGCTAGAGTGTGCAATTCACATTCATTGCCCATTCAAGTGAGTCGAATGCCTTCTCTCCCATCATGGCTATGGAGGCAGTGAAGGGGCAATCACTGTGCAAGGGTCACTGCGGGTAGAATTGGCAGCCCCCTTGAAGCTCAGAAGAGGCTCCTGTGCTTTTAAGAGCTCTATGGCACGGAAGCCCACACAGGTGCAAATACCTGTTGAACTCCTTCCTGATGTTGAGTTGGTTCCTCCTCCCCTCGCACACACAGACCTTCCCACCAGAGAAATTAGCAATTCTACTTGGTACTGTCTTTTACTAGGAAAGTATTTAATCCCAAGTGGTAGCGTCCTGCTCTGAAAGCGCAGAGGGAGAAGCCCCCAGCCCCTCAGGCTCTGCCTTAAGCCTTGGCTACAGAGAAGAAATTTGGAACAGCAACCCCATCCTCACCCAGCAGCAGGAGCAGTTTGCAAGTGAGGATGCCCTGGGGTGAGGAGACTGGCCAGCTCTCTGACAGCTTGCTCACTCCTCTACTGAAATAAACTCAGAAAAGTTCAGAGATGTGTGAGGGTTGGCGAGGATTTCTCTTCTCCTCCCCTTTAGCACCAGAAGAAGTAATGCCTTTTACCAGAGGAAACTGACACGGGGGTTGGCAGTCTGCTTCCCAAAGCCCCATACCCTCTTTGGAGGGGAACCATTCCCAACCATTCTTGCATGGACTGGGCCATTTGGTGCATGGGTTGGAAAAGGGCCTACATACAGCCACGGTGGAATGATAAAGGACATGGAGATCAGCACCCACGGGTGGAGCAGAAGCATCTCTGGGGGAGTGGGCTTCCTCTGGTTAAAGAGCTACACACTCCCTCCTCCCCTCCTCCTAGGCCCCAAAGAGGGAAGGCAGTATGAAAAGTGTGTCGCCAGCAAAAAACTGTGGGGTCCCCCTCTAAGCTCAGTGTGCTGGAGGAAGGCAGCTCAGGGCAGCCTCGCCTCTAGGTGGGAGCAGAGTTGCACCTCCAGCTGTGCAGTTAGGGCCAGGGGTGCATAAGGAGCAATAAGAGGCACCCAGTTGAACAGGTGGCAACAACCCCTCATTTCAACTGTGTCAGCCCCCTGGCTTGGAGTCTCTGCAAGAGGGTTGGTGCCATCCCCAGGTGGCCAGGGTGTTTCGATATAGGTAGAGTAATCCTCCTACCTGGCCCCAGTTCAGATGGCTTCCCTTTACTGCCTCCTCCAGCACCTGGGCCTGGATTTTTTGGGGGAAGGGGTTTGCGACCACCCACAGCCTAATCGCTTTCCCTAAAGGTGCGGCTCCACCTCAAGACTTTTCCCGCCTCCACAGCCGGGACTTCCAGGGCAATTTGAAGGAGATGCTAAAGGGTTAGGTGTATCTATCTCCCCCCAGCAAAGAACAGATTGGCAGGGGCATTTTTGGGGGGGTGTGGCCACTCCCCAGGACCAGCCCTGCAGCTCTGCCCAGCAAGAATGGAAGACTTGGTGTGTCCCCAAAACCAAGTGCAAAGTTGTCTTTTTTTAAACCACCCCACCCACCCCCGGCAATTCTTTAAAATTCAGAGCGCCTGAAAGGAGCTTTTAAAAAGACTCTCTCTCTCTTCTTCTTCTTCACATTCATTGTCAGTCACTAAAAACTCCCATAAGTGTCGCAGGAAGGAGCAGCGAGGGCCCCTCCTCCTCTAGCAAGATATAGCTTTAGTAAACCATAACAAAACAAGGTGGCTATAGAGATATAGATATATAGATATTTGTTCTTTTTTTTTTTCCTTTTCAAATATATAGCTGATTAAAAAGATGCAAAAGATGAGTGACCAGGACGGAGGGGGCGAGATCCCCTGGCGTTGGCATCTCCTCGCTTGGATCACCAGCAGATCTATGGAAATGCACAGAGATTATAGAGACTCCCTTCGACGCGTCCCCACGACAACCCCCCAGAGAAAACGTGACCTCCCCCCTCCCCCACGAACGTTGGCAAAGCAGGAGCTGCTGGGTTCTCCACTTGCCTCCCTCGGATGCCCCAAACATGCTTTCCTATCCATGCGACTTCAGTCCCCCTCTCCCCAGGGCAAAAGGAACAGAGTCCTCAAAAAGGCAGGTCCTTCTCAACTCTCTCTCTGTGTGAGCGTTGCGCTCCCTCTCTCTCTCTCTCTCTCTCTCTCTCTCTCCGGGTACATCAATCTTCTGGTCTTCCTGGCAATGAGATGACCCTCCTGGGGGCAATATGTATGCATGTTGCGTGGGGGGGGGGAGGCCTGCTGACTCAGCCTAGGGCAAAGGTCTCCTTTCTTGCCCTTCCCAACAGGACTCCTGGCAATGCCCCGAGAGTGCGCCCTGGGCCTGTCCCAACACTGTCCCCGCTCAGAAGCTGCTGTCCAGCAAGAGCTCCAGCGCTCTGCTCAGCTTCCCAGGAATCCCCGGGGGACAGCCACTGATGATGGTCAATCGGTACCTGCAAGATGCACACCTGGCCATGAAGATGCCTCCAAGCTGGCAGCTGACCTCTGGAATGGCCAGTGAAGCCACCCCAGAGCCACTAGCGGAGAGCTCTACTGGGACACCATCTCCACCTGCCTTAACCCAGCGAACCTAAACTGATGGGTTCCTGTCCTGCTAAATAGCCCTCTTCCTCCTCCTCCTCTGTGCCACCTGCCTGCCAGCCTAGGCCAGCATGCTCCACATGGGTGCAAAATCTCAGGAGGAGCATCCCTTCCTGCCCCCCAATAACTGCCCGTCCTGCAGCAACTCTCTTGGGCAAAGGTGCATCAACCGATGTACAGCCCAGGCTTCCCCACCCTGCCCAACAAAACGGCCAGGGCATCTTCATGCAACATTCCTGCTCCCTGAGGCATCGTGGCTCTGGTTGCACGGATGCCAGGGACCCCAGCCCACCCTGGGGTGTCGAGAGAGAGGGAAAGAGAGAGTCGGCGCTCACCAGTTCCCCGCCCTTCAGTGCAGTGGCCAGAGTAGAATAGAAGCCATTTGGTTCCTGTTTGCTAGTCTAGTGGTAGAAATGCCCCCACCCCACCCTCTAGGGAGTCGGCCCCGGCGGAGGAGGCCAGCAGCGCCGCCCGGGACGGTCAGCTGTCCACCAGCTGCTTGAGCGCCCGCTCAATGTTCATGCGGTGCCCGACCCGCGTCACCCCCAGCTCCACAAAATCCTCCTTGGTCAGGGCCGGCAGGTGGGTGCCCTCGATCTCGTTGTCCTCAAATTTGTCCCGGTGTTCCACCAGGTTGATGCTCTCCAGCCAGTCCCCGACGTCGTACTTGTTCCACAGCTGGAGGGGCTTCTGCATGAAGGGCCGAGGCGGGTGGAGGGCGTGCAGGGGCCCCCCCGAGGAAGGCGAGGGGGACGGGGACCGGCTCCGGGCGCTGACACTCCTCACCACAAAGCGCACCTCCTTGGGTTCGTGCGGGATGGAGAGGCTGGAAGATTTGAGGATGGTGGGCGGGGTGAGCCCGTAGGGACGCACGGAGCTCAGCGGGTCTGTCCTATCCAGGGTGGGCTTTACCGGGCTGGGGGTGCGGCGGGTCACAGGGTAGCGGCTGCCGGGACGGACGGTGTAGGTGGTGCCCGAGCTGCGCTGCGAAATGGTGCTCAATTCTCCTAGACTACTGAAAAGTCTGCAGAGAGAGAATGGGACAGACACACACAGAGAGAGAGACAGAGAGAGAGAAAGCAGTGGTGAGGGAGAAGTCCTCAGACACCAGAACACACACAGACACACACACACACACACACACACACACAAGCACACACACACAAGCACACAATCTACACAGGAGAGTAGGGTGGTTGTGGTTCTGCAGAGCCCACAGCTGATGCTACCTCAGCCACTCCCATGGCAGTCAGAAACTCAGAGGCCTCAGACTCTATTCTTGTCCAGTCACAGAGACAAACCTCTCAGGTAGTTCTCTAGAATGTGCACCTCCTATCTCTGAATTGCTGGCCTTTCCTAGGGTGGTCCGGGGAATCTCCTCCTGCTAGCCCCCAAATCTGCCAAGAGATCAAGAGGTCCTGGACATGCCCAAAGCAAGAAGTCTATCGTGACTAGGGCACCTGCATCTCCTGGTATGTCCCACGGAGGACCTTCTGGTCTTCAAACAAAAACATCTTGGAGGTCCTGGGCCACAGAGAGGTTAGGCTGGCCTCAACCAGAGCCAGGGCTTTTTCAGCTGTGGCCCCAATCTGGTGGAACACTCTGTCACAAGAGACTAGGGCCCTGTGGGACTTGGCATCTTTCCGCAGGGCCTGCAAGACAGAGCTGTTCCACCAGGCCTTTGGCCAGGGCACAGCCTGACCCCCTCCTTCCGTAATCCTCACAGAACTCTAGCCCAATGATTGCCATTAATTTGATTTTGAATTGATTTTAAAAGGAATTGATTTTAGAATGCTGTGTTACTTTTATTGTTGTTAGCCGCTCTGAGCCTGGCTTCGGCTGGGGAGGGCGCGATATAAATAAAATTATTATTATTATTATTATTATTATTATTATTATTATTATTATTATTATTATCTCTGGGGAGCTTGACATGCAGCAGAGCTTTGCACAGGGGGTGGATCTTCAAGGAAATGTGATTTGGGCAAGGGAGAGCCCTCCTTGCTTTTCTGCTATCCCCCCAAGAGTGTAATTGCTGGTTTTCTAAGAAAAAAAAGTCTGTTGCTTGTTCCAAAGATTGACCCCTGTAACATTTAAGAAAAACAAAAAAACAATCAGGATCTAGGGGGGCTGGGAAATGACTGTCCAGTTCGTTTTGTTCCCGAAAAGAATGGTAGAAAAGCATTATGAGAGGCAGAATTACCAAGCATTGATAAGAGCAAGTTTTGCTGAACAAGTGCAAGTGCTGTCTCATTAACCTGTCAGAATAGTTTGTCAAGGAGTGTTTAGACAAAGGTGGTTCGCTGGATGTAGAGGACTTGGATTTTCAAAATGCTTTTATCAGTCAAGGAAAAAGAGGAGAGGTCTGCTTGTGGACCTGGATTTGGTTAAGTTGCAGAAAGCAGAGAGTCAGAATAAATGGACTGTTCTCCAAATGTAGAGAAGTAGGAAGTGGAGTCTCCCAAGGATCGGTGTTGGGACCTGCGCATTTTAACTTGTTCATAAATGACATAGGAGAAGTGAGGTGGTCAAGTTTGCTAATGACCCTGAATTGTTCAAACAAAAAGGGGCTGGGACACACAAATGGGGTCTGAGCTGGTGGTGTTTGGCCAGGAATGAGAGCTCAATGAACACGCTGCGAAAAAGGTGGATTCCATGCTAGGGATCGCTAGAAAGAAGAAGAGTTTGGATTTGATATCCTGCTTTATCACTACCCTAAGGAGTCTCAAAGCGGCTAACATTCTCCTTTCCCTTCATCCCCCACAACAAACACTCTGTGAGGTGAGTGGGGCTGAGAGACTTCAGAGAAGTGGGACTAGCCCAAGGTCACCCAGTAGCTGCATGTGGAGGAGCGGGGAAGCGAACCCGGTTCACCAGATTACGAGTCTATCGCTCTTAACCACTACACCACGCTGGCTCTCTGGAACAGAACCTAAAACTGCCAATGTCATAATGCGTTGTACAAATTTATGAAATATCCACACTTGGAATACTGTGCAGAGTTTTGGCCCCCTTAACTCAAAAAGGACATTGTGGAATTGGAATGGAGCGACTCTCCCAAGAGGAAAAGTTGCAGCGTTCAGGAATTTTTAGCTGAGGAAAAAGTGGAGGCAAGAGAGTGGTGTGTATGATTCCACACAATGTGAAGACGCTTTTCACCATCTCATAACCCTATAACGTGGGACCATCAAATGAAGCTCAGTGTTGGGAGATTCAGGACTGACTGAATGAGCCACTTATTCACTCAGTAAAAGGTAAAGGGACCCTTGACCATTAGGTCCAGTCGTGGCCGACTCTGGGGTTGCGGCGCTCATCTCGCTTTACTGGCCGAGGGAGATGGCGTACAGCTTCCGGCTCATGTGGCCAGCATGACTAAGCCGCTTCTGGCGAACCAGAGCAGCACACGGAAATGCCAAATCTTCTCGCCGAAGTGGTACCTATTTATCTACTTGCACTTTGACGTGCTTTCGAACTGCTAGGTTGGCAGGAGCAGGGACTGAGCAACGGGAGCTCACCCCGTCACGGGGATTCGAACCGCCAACCTTCTGATCAGCAGGTCCTAGGCTCTGTGGTTTAACCCACAGCACCACCCGCATCCCTATTCACTCAGTACTTGGCTGAACTATGGGACTCATCCCAACAAGACTTAGTGATGGCCACAGGCTTAGGCAGCTTCAGAAGAGGATTGGGCAAATTCATGGAGGGGGGCTACCAGTGGCTACTAGCCTCCCCTGTCAATGTCAAAGACTCTCCAAAAAGAAGATCAGTAATTCAGACGAGCCATTCAGCTTCAGGGTCTGTGTCTGTGTGTACGTCAAGCAAAAGGCCACAAGCAGCCGCTAAAGTGTCAGCTGTTGAGTTGCTCTGTCTCAGTTCAAAAGGAATCCAGCAAAGCAGATTCAAGTACCGCTTATGATGCTGGCCCTGCCTCTTGAGTGGATGTGGGAGGGCATAGAGAACCCACAAAAACTGCTGGGACAGGGAGTGGTGCTGCTTGGTGGAGGAACGAGGGCTGGGTTTCTGAGATTGCAAGGGACACGCCTGCCACTCTCTGAGAGAACAGCTCCTTCACATGCTCTCATCTCGGGAGAGGACCTCTTGTCTTCAGGCTACGAATCCTCACTGCTTCATTGTCCATGCCCCCCAGGCTAACAGAAAGGCTTGGGCCATCGCCACATTCCCAAAGGTTGAAGCAACCCCCTCGTTGCACCAACACCTTCTGTTGCTAATCTGCATTACTGCCTGCTGAATTTTGCTGAATATGACAATGTGCCTGGAGGCTCGCTCATATCTGCATTCCCTGGATGTTCCTTTGAACAGGAAGCCACCTGGTCCCTCTGCTGCTGAGAGCCCCTGCCGGACCCCGGGAAAGGAAAGGTCAAAGGGCCACTTGCCTCTAGGCCAGGCTTCCTCCCCAGAGTAGGGATCGGGGCTGAAGTGGGATGGAAGCCTGGGGACTTGTCTTAAGAGCTCAAGCTTGGTGGGCATTGGGGTTCCTCTGGGGTGTGGGGTGGGGAGGGCAAATGCTGGCCACAGGCATGAAAGTGGGAACAAAGGCAAGTGTTAGTTGGGGAGCTTCGGCCAATGCTTCATCTTCTGGTGAAGGGAATGGGTGATGCTTTAAGCACCATAACAGTAAATGTGAAAAGGATCTAGGGATGTCAGTAGACCACAAGCTCCACTTGAGTCAACAGTGTGATGCAGCAGTAAATTGATAATAATATTAAAAATAACAATCTAGGTTGCATCCACAGAAATATAGTGTCCAGGTCAAAAAAGTGATAGGACTGCTCTAGTCTGCCTTAGTCAGATCACACCTGGAATACTGTGTCCAATTCTGGGCACCACAATTTAAATATATTATCAAGCTGGAGTGTGTGCAGAGGAGGGCAGCCAAGATGACCAAGGCTCTGGAAACTAAGCCTTATGATGAACGGTTGAGGGAGTTGGGTATGTTGAGCCTGGAAAAAGAGGAGGCTGTGGGGAGATATGAGAGTCATCTTCAAATACCTCAAGGGCTGCCCCATGGAAGATGGGAGTAGGCTTGTTTTCTCCTGCTCTGGAGGGTAGGACCCAAACTCATAGCTTCAAGTTACAAGGAAGGAGATTCTGAACTCCCTTGGAAGGTGGTGGTCTCTCCTTTCTTGGAAGGTTTCAAAGCAGCAGTTGGATGGCCATCCCTCAGAGATTCTCTCTTTGGAATTACTGCATTGCAGGGGGTTGGATTAGATGACCCTTAGAAGATTCCCCCAACTCAACAATTCTATGACTGAAGCCTAAGGCAGATGCTTTGGGATATGTGGTGTGCATGGATGGAGATGGGTGAATGTGGAAAGCATTCCATTCCTACGGCTTCTTCATGGGGCTGCCATCTAGCAAGAGCTGGCTCTTGAGGACCCGAGAGAGAGCCCTGAGCTCAGCCCTTCACCCTACCTTACAGGGCTTGACCAGTGGGAACCACGTGTCGTAGCATTTTTAATCTCCCAGTTTTGCATTTCTCGATCTACCTGCTTGGCCGCTTCCAGATGGCGCTGCAGCTTCTAGCTGTTCTACTCTAAGAGCAGCCAGCAATAAAACCCTCTCGGAAAAACTCTTGAAAACCTGCAAACATTTCTCAGCAGCTGTGCCATGAAGGCAGGAAGGCCCTGTACTCTTCAAGTCAAGTGCAGGAAAGAAAGAAGAGCTGGGTCGTTGGCATGATCCAGCTGTTATGTTATTACAGCTTTCCTAATCTTGGCAGCCACTTCAAGACAACATATTCTGGGCCAGCCAAGGATTAAAGTGAACTGTCTGCCTTTCTGCTTGCAAACACTAACAATTATTAAAACCCCCTTTGCATCGAAACCACCTGTGCATTGTACTGGCACGGAAAGTCTAAGAACTCGTTGCTTTTTACAACTGCCTGTGTTGGAGACTGATCCTGGCAGCCAGGAACTGCCCTGGGCATGCAGCAGTTCAGCAGAAGCCATGGGATGCGTTCGGAGGGAGCCTTACAGCAGGGTGGTCCTTCTTTTCATGGGTGGG